TGTTTTTAAATTGTTTTTAAATTGTGTTAGATTTTAGCCTGTTCTTGTAAGCCTCTCCGAGCCCCAGGGTTTGGAGAGGCTTACCAAAATGAAACTTGCTTTTCACTAATGGTAAGAGAAGCATTCTCGTTCCTATGCTTGTCCACTCTTATGGCTCAAGATGGGTCTACACTGCCCTATATCCCAAGAACTGATCCCAGATTATCTTATTTAAACTGGATTATATGAGTCCACACTGCCAGATAATCTGGGATAATCAGATTATCTGGGATCATATCCTGGGATATAGGGCAGTGTAGATCCAGCCTCAAATAGTATGCTTCTCCTTCCCTCTATACCATACTAGGTTTATTTCTTGGATGTGTGTATCACTGCATGCATTATTCAGCCCATGACCAATTATTTCTACATATGCCATTCCTCCTACTGCATTTCTTCTTGTGACTTACACATTTCTTTCCAATTCCAACATGATTCATTTTCCTATGTAGCAGCCATCTTTTAGCAACCACTCTATTCTTTTTTTCTTTGATCAAGTTGTCTAGGAATACTTGAATACTAAACCACAATGACACCGACCATTTGGTTCTGGACTCAAACAACTTTCATGTTAACATTACACAAAAACAAAGGAGGTATATGAAGCTCCGCAGGTGCTACCACCATGAAATATTATTTTTATGACTTCTTAAAAAGTCTAGAAAGGACCAGCTAACACCTCCCAGCAAAGGATCCCTCCAGGCAGCAACCAGCCAGGCTTTGAAGCTACAAGGGAATTAAATGCTAATCTAGGTGGCCATTTGCAACATTCACACTTGCCTCAAGCAAGTTCTTTCTCCCACCTTGGACATTCCACAGATATATAAACCTCACTTGCCTAGTTTCCAACAGACCCCACAACCTCTGAGGATGCCTGCCATAGATTTGGGAGAAACGTCAGGAGAGAGTGCTTCTGGAACATGGCCATACAGCCTGGAACACTCACAGCAACCCAGTGATTCTGGCCATGAAAGCCTTTGACAACACTCTAGAAAACTCCTTTATTTGTGAGGAGAGTATAATAGAAAGACAGGTATGATGTTCAATATGATGTCATATTTTGGAGCCTTGCCGCTAAATTGTGAGCTGGAAATGTTTGAGGAAATGATTAAAAACATTCCTTTTTGGAGTACAGCTCCCAGAATTCACTAAAAAGTTTTATGATTGTTCAGCTGTAAAGTGGATTGTGGCGTTCAATTTAAAGAAAATGAAGAGAACCGAAGAAATGGAGCTGTACAGATCATAAAAGTATGCATGACCTCAAGAGTTCTTTGTACAAGTGTTGCAGAAACTGAAGCATGGTTCAGGAGTTAAAGGCAGTTCCAGTACCGAGTGAAAACAAGCAAGACCTTTCTGTGATAGTTTGAGGAACCAAAAAGGAACCAAAAAACCTTCAGGATCCAAGACCTCTCAGGAACAGCCACAAGATCCTCATAGATAAGACTTTGTCAGCTATGAATACATGCTTCGAGGTGGATGCAAATAACACATTCTCATTTTTGAAAAAGGTCTCCTCCCATGGAAGGAAGAGATACTGAAAAGCCAAAGGAAACCGCAGACAGATGCTGCTGACAGCAGCCACTCAGTTCCGGGACATATTACAAAAGCAGAGGAGGCAACTTGGGGCACAGAGAGCGTCTGGAATGTTTAATGGATGCAGTCATTGTAAGAGAGGCAGCCCAGCCAAGGCATTTCCAAATTCCATTCGCAGAGCAGGATCTGGAAGTTGGGGGCCTGGGCTGCTTGTTTAATATGTTAAAATTTAATAAGCGGATTACTCATGGAAAAAAATGGAATTTGAGCCCTGGCCCTGCCAGGCCCAGCCCTATCAGTAGCTTCCAAGCTGAGCAAACTGGGAAGGGAGAAAGACAACGCCTACAAATAAAGGGTAACTGGTGAGTGCTCCAGTAAAGAGTGCCTGGTTTAAAAGAGCAAGGCAGGCTGCCTTCCTCTCCCTCCCCAGCACTCCCAGTCCCTTCTGCCAGTTGCCAGATATAAGGGACAGACAATGACATCACAAAACAAGAATGATCTCAAGCCTTCCTCTCTAGCATTTAGCTGAGCCAGCAGATGAAGGCCTTGATTGAATCAAGATGGAAACACGCAGTGCTAATTTTTCTCATAAGGGCCTCAGCCACTCTGGGCGGGAAGCCACGGTGAAGACATCTCCCTGCTCACACTGAAAGCTCGTGCCCATAATGCATCGCTCTGGCTGGAAAGAAATGGAAAACGGTCTCCAAAGTCCTGACCTTCCCAAAGGCAGAAGGTTGGGCAGAAAGAGACCTCCAGCTCTCCAAACAAGCTAGATGAAAGCCCTTTATTCTCGGAGTGAAGAATTAGAGAAGGGGTCTCATCTCCCTCCTAAGGAAGGCATCTGCCAATTAGGAGCCCTGGTGGTGCAGTGGGTTAAACCATTGTTCCAGCAGGACTGAAGACTGACAGGTTGGCGGTTCAAATCCAGGGAGGGTGCAGATGAGCTCCCTCTGTCAGCTCCAGCTCCCCATGTGGGGACATGAGAGAAGCCTCCCACAATGATGGTAAAACATCAAAACACCCAGCTGTCCCCTGGGCAACGTCCTTGCGGACAGCCAATTCTCTCCCACCAGAAGCAACTTGAAGTTTCTTAAGTCTCTCCTGACACAGAAAAAAAACCCCAGCCAATTAATGGGTTACTGTCTAAAAAGGAAAGTACCTGGAGGTTTGAGCGTACCTACAGGCCACACCTTCTAATGTGGAAGCTTTTTGAGATAACTCAGGAGCGTAGGGCAAGACACACATTCAGAGGAACCTTTTCCTTCAGGAGTATTGTTTTGCATATTCCAGAATAACATCCTGGCACTGAAAACCGTCCCTGTGGTTTTGGTGAGGTTTGCTAAAATTATTTCTTCACTGACTGGGCCACGTGATGAGATTCCAGACTAGAATCCACACTAAAATTAGTGTGGTTAGCCTTTTGAAGAAAGTAGGTTTTTTTATTCCTCTGTTCTCATCATCAAGAAAGGATTTCAAAGCCAAATCCATTAGAATTCCCTCTCTGCGATTTCACTAAAAGAAATTACTTAGATGCAAAAGTAAGTCAGGGGTTCTCAAGGAATACATTCATGACTTTCTGCAAATATTGTTACTTGGACTGTATGGTTGTTTCCTAGAGAGCCAAACCAAAGAACACTGTGGGCATAATTAAATGATTTTAATGCAACCTGGTCCTCTATATTTGTGAATGCACTGGAAGGCGAGGATGGGATATGCAACAGACCTAAGGCACCAAGAAGCAAGGACAAATTTCCAAAAGTAGAAGATGGCAACCATTATGGGGGGAAAAACAAGCTTCTCCTATGGAGGCGGGTAGCTTCTTTCTCTTGAGCCAGGAGCTTAAGGGACTGGGAAGGTATTTATATACAGTAAGCAGATGGAAATCTGGTTTCCGCTTTGTGGCGGTCCAAGCTTCCTTCTGTTCTGCCCTCTCCCTGCTGGTGCCATTCGGCAAGCTCTGCGGCCTTGTGTGCTTCCATGCCTCCTTCCATCTGTCCCCTTGGCTTCCTCCACTTCCTTGGGTCCTAGGTGAGGGTCCGGCCCAACACTGGAAGACTTGCATTTTGAAGTTTGCGCCAGTCAATGCATCCCTGCATGACTTCACAGCTGTCTCCAACATATTAACAGCAGCAGATCTGCCTTATCTCTTGGAAGCAGAAAAACCTGGACGTTCCACAGATACATTAACCCCACTTGTCTAGTTTCCAACAGACCTCACAACCCCTGAGGATGCTTGGCATAGATGCAGGTGAAATGTCAGGAGAGAATGCTTCAGAAACACAGTCATACAGCCTGTAAAACTCACAACAACCCAACAGAAAAACAGTTAGCACATGCTAAATCAAAGTAGAATTCTTGAGCAACCTGGTGTTCTAGACCTGTTGCCAACTGATATACAGGGGTGGTGATTTGACTGACCCCCCCCCCCACCCAAGCTGCCATTGGGAAAAGAGAAGCATTCCACCCTTAATGTATTGTTGAAGCATTTAATGGCTGGAATCACTGGGTTATTGTAGGTTTTTCAAGCTGTATGGCCATGTTCTAGAAGCATTCTCTCCTGACATTTCACCTGCATCTATTGCAGGCATCCTCAGAGGGTGGTCCTCACAACCTCTGATGAGCTCCCTCTGTCAGCTCTGGCTGCCATGTGGGGACATGAGAGAAGCCTCCCACAAGGATGCTAAAACATCAAAACATCTGGGCATCCCTTGGGCAATGTCCTTGCAGGTGGCTAATTCTCTCACACCAGAAGCAACTTGCAGTTTCTCAAGTCACTCCTGACACACACACAAAGAAAATCCTCAGAGGTTGTGAGGTCACTCAACCTCAACCTCCGAGGATGCCTGCCATAGATGCAGGCGAAACGTCAGGAGAGAATGCTTCTAGAACATGGCTATACAGCCCAAAAAACCTACAACATCCCATTCCACCTTTAGTTCTCCGTCAGCGAAGATGGCTGTGCCCTTTCCTGTTTTTCCTGGGGAAGTTTCCTTTCCTCGCGGTTCCTCAAGACCGACATCTGCTTCCCCCCAGCAGCCCCTGGCAAGCCTACATCTCGCAAGGAGGGAGCCTTGGCCAGAAAGGGAGGGGTTCGAGTTGGTGGTTGCATTTGGGGGCTTTCAAACGAATTCCTGCGGATCAGGTCAGGGCGGGAGCAAGGAAGGAGAGAAGGAAAGAGGAATGCCAGGGAGGAAAGAGCGGCACACGCGTGTTTTTCAAGGCGAGGGCGTGGGAGTGGTGGAAGTGGCCGAGGCAATGCCAGCCTCAAGAAGCCTGGCTGGGCCAAGAAACTCCAGGGCCCACGCTCCCCCTGTTCCCGCGGGGGAAGGGGTGGGGTTGGTGGGGGTTGATCTCCCAAATGGTGGGGAGGGAGCGAGAGAGAGAGAGAGAACCAGGGCGCGGAGGGAGGGCGTCCGTCCTTTCCTTACCTACATCTGCATTGCAAAACGCCTGTTGCGGGTGGACCGGGGAGCAGCTGCAGGCGTCGGCCAGGCGGTCCATCCTCCCCAGGAGCAGCAGGGCCAGCCAGGCCAGGAGGCTCCGCAGCCCAGCACTCATCTTGGCGGAAGGAAGGCAGGCAGAAGAGGGAGGGAAGGAAGAGGAAGGAAGGCAGGAAAAACGGAGGGAGGGACGGCGAGCTTGAGAGAGAGAGAGAGAGAGAGCAAACGGCGGGGCTGGAGAGAGAGGGAGAGGGAGAGGGAGAGGGCGCTGCTCAGGGCTCCTGCTGCCTCATCCAGGCACACACTCGCTCCCACTCGTGCTCCCCAAAGTTTGGCCTCTGCTTGGAGTGGAAGGCGCCAAGGAAGGGAGTCCTGCCGGCGGGAGACAGACGAGGAGCCACGCAGAATGTGGCAGCAGAAGCTCCGGCTCCTTCCCAGCTTCTGGTTCTGCTCCTGCTGCTTGCCTGCTTGCTTGCCTGCCTGCCTTCCTTCCTTCCTTCTATGGAGGTGTTTTCTTCGGCTAAGCCTGGCTTTTTAATGGGCTCTGGGGATCCGCTGCCCCTCCTCTCCGTGGCACGGGGCCAGAGCGGGCGGCTCGCCTGAGGATCCCGGCAGCGCGGCCTCTCCCTCGCTTTCCCTCTCTCTCTCTCCCTCTCCCTCGCTTTGCCTCTGGCCCGGTTCTGCTCTTGACAGCGATGGCCAGCTATGACTCTTCTTATCATCGGCCAGGCGGAAGGAAGGAAGAGGGAAGGCGGCACCTCGGGCTCTGCCACACCGTCGGATGCCTCCAGTCGGATGGACACCACTTGAACTGCCCAGGCTCAATGCTCTAGAGCCCTGGGAGTTGGTTGGGGTTTTGCCAGGTCGGCAGCCTCCTCTGCCTCCCCAAGCCTCAGCACCTGCACTCTCCGGCAGAGATGGCTGCTAAAGACCTTGTAAAACTTCAACTCTCGGGATCACATAGCGTCGAGCCATGGCAAATCAAACTCCCAAACGTATCTCCTTCTATGAAGCATCTTCAAAGTTAGGAGGCCCTGCTCTTGATCCCACTTCCTTCACAAGTGTGGTTGCTGGGAATGAAATACAGGGCCTTCTCAGTGGTGGCCCCTTGGCTATGGAACACTCTAGCAAAATCAGATCAGCTCCCTCTCTCCTGACCTTTAGGAAGAAATTTATTTATTTATTTATTTATTTATTTATTTCAGAGTTTTATATACCGAGCTTCTCACCTCATAAGAGGGACTCAGCCCGGTTTCCAACTATAAAAACACATACAATCGGTAAAATATCAAAATAAACATTACAATAAAACATTTAAAAAAGCACATATATTTAAAACTACAGTGGTCAGCCGTCATACTAAAATCGAATATACACCGTCTTCCATCCAGATCATTGTCTCATTCTTCGAAAGCCTGTCTCCATAACCACAACTTCACCTGTTGAAAAACATGGCTATGGGACCAAGCCTTGGATTTGTAATGCAGTGCAATAAATGAAGTTGGAATATGGACAATAATGGCCAGAACAGCTTCTCAAATATGATTCAGATTGTGTGATTTTAATAACTGGCATTAAGTTAAGGCTGCTCTGAGTCCCCTTCGGGGTGAGAAGGGCAGCGTATAAATACAGAAAATAAATAACTGCATTCATTCAGCAGTGTTAATGCACCCATAGCAGAGCATTCAACCCCCCCCCCCAAAAAAAACCCAAGTGTACAAACACCCTAATAAATGTAACCAATTCAAAGCTCTTTTCAGCACCAGGATGGTGGGGAACCCCCCCCCCCCCTTCATTGTGTCTGCATGGGCCTTCAAGTCTCTTGTCAACTTACGCCAACTCCATGAATTTCACAAGGTGCCTTCCTTTGAAATGTAATGGTAGACAGGCCAAATCCAGTTGGGAGGGGCCAAATCTAATTCTTCACTAATTTGGACCTTTCCCCAAGGACAGTTCACTTCTCTACTCAGGTTGCAATGAAACATCTTCCCAGGCTGCATACCAAAACAAAGTTCCTTATTCTGCTCTAAATAGCCTCATAGCTCCAATTGCTGATCAGAGATCAAATAAGCCTTGTGATGCACCCAGTCTGTGGCCAGCCATTCCCCATATTGTTACTGAATGCCTTCAATGTGACCCTGAATTATAGTAACCCTACTCTACGGTTTTCTTGGCATGATTTCTTCAGAGGAGGTTTACCCCCATACCTGTTAGGCTGAGAGAATAAGGCTCTCTCAAGGTGGGTGTGCACTATTCAGGGCTAAGCAGAGATTTGAATCCTAAATTTATGGAGCACTACCATAGTCCCACACTAAAACCATGGTACCACACTGGCTTAAGAGGTCCAGGCTCACTGCTTTAAATCTTTTCGTAATATCAATCAGCAACCCTAAATACACTGGATATACCAAATCCAGGGTCAGCTCTAGTTAGTGCTTGGATGGATATCAGGTGCTCAGGGCTAAATTTCAGAAGAAGCAATGGATTAAACCCCCCACCCCCACCCCCTTTGTCCCCCTGGCCTAAGAAAAGCTCATGAACTTCATGAGGTCACCAGCTTTCAACAAGCGACCTGAAGGCACATAGCTAGGACCTCTATCTCTTTATCCAACCTCTCATTTAGAGAACCTCTCCCCTTGCCCCCATGAGCAAACATATGGGCCTCATCACGCTAGAGAAAGAAAATCGACTTAAAATCCGGTTTCTGCCTCCTGCAGAATTCTGGGGTTTGTAGTTTTGGGAGGAGCCTTTAACAGCATCACAAAAACCCCAGAAATCATTTTGATGTGATCATCTGGAGAAAACAGAGGGAAAGTTGTAGACAAGCCTTGCAAGTAGTGCCAATATCAGCCATACCTTGTCTTCTCTGGGGATGCGGGAAATGGTTAATGGTAGGCTCTGAGTGTCTGGACTATATTCTGGAAAGAGACATAATCACTGAGGCTAAAGACATATCTTTCCAGACCACTGTCTGAATTTGCTTGGTAACTATGAGCACGGAACAAAATGATTTATTTGTAGAGCTGGGGACCCCTCATTTTATCTCCCTCCTGGGAGACATTACCAGGTATGAACTGACACCTGTACAAACCTATCAATGACTCATCAAGCCTGCATTCTTCATCTCAAGACTGTTTTGAAATATTTAAGACATAACTAAAACATCTAGCAAATTTTGGATAATACCCTCCACCCAATTCTAAAGCCATCTGTTTAAATAAAGAGTTCTGTAAAGATGTGTTATCAAAGCTTTCATCACTGGGTTGCTGTGCGTTTTCCGGGATGTATGGCCATGTTCCAGAAGCATTCCCTCCTGACATTTCACCCACATCTATGGCAGACATCCTTGGAGATGGAGGGGTCTGTTGGAAACTTGACAAGTGGGGTTTATATATCTGTGGAATGTCAAAAAACAGATGAATTCCAGACAAGAATCAATCAGGGCCAGCTAACACCTCCAACCAAAGGATTCCCCCATGCAGCAATCAGCCAGACTTTGAAGCTGAAAGGCCATTAAATGCTAACCAAGGTGGCCAACTGCAACATTCACACTTGCCTCAAGCACAGTTCTTTCTCTCACCCCGGACATTCCACAGACGTATAAACCTCACTTGCCTAGTTTCCAACAGACCTCACAACCTCTAAGGATGCCTGCCATAGTTTTGGGAGGAGAGAATGCTTCTGGAACATGGTCATACAGCCTGGAAAACTGACAACAACCCAATTCTGTAAAGGCTGAAGGTCTTCACTCCTATGGAATTATAGTTGATCACAAAACAGGTATTGACTGCCTGTGGGTTATGTTCTGATAGAAAAAGAGACTTCTACATGTGTGCAGTCTCTCTCTTGTTATTATTACTTGGCAAGTTTTAAGGTCTGAGTTGTAGTACTTAAAACAGTTTCTGGGATTAAACACCAGCAAAATAAGTTGTGGAAATTATTTTGAGTGCTGCAGTTCAACTGTTAAAAGTTTTATGAGTTCCCACCCTTGTTGTGCCAGATGGAAAGTCATAGCAATAAAAACACTTTTTGGCTGTTGACCACAAGTTAGGAGATGGCCCAAAATTTTGCTCCAATCGGCTTTGACTTTTCTCCTAGCCCTGATCAGAGCTGGGTCAAGTTATTTTTGAAATTACAATTCCAGAATGTCCCAATGGTCTTGCTAGCTGGGAGGGATTTGGGGTGTTGTAGTAAAATAAAAATGCCTCTAGCCTGGGTATAGAGGTATCGTAACCTGCAGACCCCAGTATAGTTGATGGAAAGATGCTGAGAAGTGCACAACTTGTCTCTGTGTCATCAAGAGACAACTGGCTCACATGTTGCATTTCAGTGTCTTCCTTCATAATCTTAGAGACCTTCGCCAAAGCTCCCTGTCAGACATCACCACCCCCAGCTCCTTCAAGGTCGAGCCAATCACTTTAAGGATAACATTCTTGCCCTTGGTCAGCCTCTCTTCCCTTTTACTTCCATTTTTCCCATTCTCATTATCTTCTCCTAGCTTTCCTGTCTTCTCATTATGTGGCCAAAGTACTTCATTTTGCCTCTAATACCCTTCCCTCCAGTGAGCAACTGGGCTTTATTTACTAGAGTATGGATTGGTTTGATCTCCTCGCAGTCCAAGGCACTCTCAGAATTTTCCTCCAACACTACAGTTCAAAAGCGTCTATCTTCCTTTGCTCAACCTTCCTTATAGTCCAACTCTCTGCATTCTTCATATGCCCTGTGCTTCATCTCAGCCAGTGCTGCACTTTCCACCCAGGGTCAAATAGCACATTAAGGAGGTGTTCTCTGCAAACTATCTGAAGGGGCAAAATGCATGTTGGGTACTAAATTCTTCTGTTTCTAGAGATCTTGCCATACTGCAGAATTATAGCAGTTTGACACCACTTTAATTGCCGTGACCCAATGCTATAGAATGCCGAGATTTGTAGGAGTTGCTGATGGGCTCCAAGAGTTCTGTTATGTTTCCTGTTTTTTAAAGTGTTTCCAAAGAATTGCCACATATATATCCTGATGGTTATCGGTTATTCCCAAAAACCACTGTAGGCTTCATCTTGATCTAAATGATTTGTACTAGGCTCTTGATTATCATTTTCTGTTTGCATTCCCAATATGCATATCTTATAATCAGAACCTGGAAATATGACTTTGTTGGGATAGCAACTCTCAGAATGCCCCAATAGACACAAGCAGTAGACATGAAGGCTGGAAGGTTTGTGGAGTTGTAGTCCAAAATGTTCCTAGCTTTGTTTCCATCCACTTTTTCTATGACTGAGATGTAAGAACTGTCTGTAATTGTGTTGTTGTAGGTTTTTCGGGCTATATGGCCATGTTCTAGAAGCATTCCCTCCTGATGTTTCGCCTGCATCTATGGCAAGCACCCTCAGAGGTTGTGAGGATGCTTGCCATAGATGCAGGCAAAACGTCAAGAGAGAATGCTTCTAGAACATGGCCATATAGCTCGAAAAACCTACAATAACCCAGTGATTCCAGCCATGAAAGCCTTCGACAATACACTGCCTGTAATTGTTATGTGTCACTGATTCTGAAATCAGGCAAAGTTCAAACCTTGCCTGCATGGACTTCAGTGTCCTCCCACAGACTTTGTCTAGGCAGATGTGCCTTTCGCTTCCTCCAT